TGCCACTCAGGCTAAGAGGCAGCGGGAGGAGGTGGCCCAGTGAGGGAGGTCCCAGCCTGAACAAAAATCACCGCAGCAGGCAGGGAGAATACAGAAAAGAGGGGAAAACCATAAGAGAGGTAATGCCAGTCCTAAATAGGACTTTTCTCAGAATTTCCCCTTCTAAACCCAAATACTGGCTGGCCAACAGGTGCCACCGAGTCCCCAGCGCCCGTCTGGCTCAGCCCCACCGCCGGCCGCCCACCCCATGCCGCCTCTCAGGGGGGAATTTAATTCACTCCCCGCTGGCTCTCTCACTTTGTTGTGCTCTGAAGCACGAAATTACAAGATTTACAGGAAAAAAAATGACATGGCCTTACAATTGCACACAGGGGCCTCTCCACTAGCGCCCCGGAGCTGCCCCCCCCTCTCCCTCCTCACCACCCAGCAGCGATTTCAACTTCAGCCTAAGTCCAGCGCAGCCTGCAAACGAAGGATGCTCCGGTTGGCAGCGCCCGGGTCTGCAAACCTGTTGAGCGGCTGCTCAAAAGCCGCTGGCGTCCCCAGAAAATTGAATTTCAGGACGCAGAGCCCCACGTTATCTGCATTTGTTACCCTCACCCACAGAGTAGGGGTGCCAGCCGGGGAGGGGGTAAAGCCTTTCTGTAGGGATGAGCGAGGAAAGTGTTGCCCACGTCATCTCCTTAGGGCTGAAGGGGATGTGAAAGCAGAAGGAAGAAAGTCTTCCCGTAGGAGCGGCTGGGTTTTCACCTCCTGGCTCTGTGAACCGGAGATAAAAATGATTTAAAAAAAAAAAAAATTGTATCCTGCTGCACGGTGTTATTCAAGAGTCATTAACGTGTTACCCGTAATTAGGAACGAATGGGTTGTGTCAAATTCATCATGCTCCTGGATGGCTCCCTTTGATCAGCAAATTATCCCATAAAAAAAGTTTGCAACGTCTCAGGCATGTCAGGAGCCAATGCTGTTTGGCTTTGCCTTCCCCAAGAGCAGCAACACGTTTCAGGGCTGAGGAAGAGGATGGTGACACGGACTTCGCTGGGGGTGGCCCGTAACTACCCCAGGCTACATGGAGGGGATATAAAACATCACCTCAGTGCAACACCCAAAGCCCCCTACCCTGGTAGAACCATGCCTGGGGCAGGAAAGCTTTTAACCTGGTGGGATTTTGCTCATTTAATTATTTTAGTTGTTCCCTAGATTTTTTAAGGATTAACAGTAAACAGCAAAATCTGGTTGCACCAGTCTCCGGGTGCACTTTGTGCTACTTCTCCAACCGGACACCGTTGGGTATAGGGTCCGTGTCTGAAATAAAATGTTGTCTGGAGCGATCCTGGTTTCTAAACAAGTAGTGTTAAAGGCAATTAAAACACTGAAAAGTGCTTGACAAGTTCTTAGCCCGCTGGAGGACAAGGTTCCCCCAGGCTCAACCCCGACGTCACCCCGCCAGCACCTCTGCGCGCTCCACGCGTGAGGGTTTCGGAGCGATGCTGCAGAAGGCTGAGCGCTCGGAGATGCTGGACGGGGTCAATAAATAAATCACGCCTGGGATTAACGCAGACAGCACACACCCTGCCGTGCCCTGCTCCGAGCTGCTCCCACGGCAGCAGAGGTTTCCCCGCCATGGAAGGGGGCTCTCGGGGTACCCAGCCCACGGGGATGCTCGCCTCTGCCCGGAGATCTCTCCGGTTTGCTGGGTAAACTGAGGCTGGATCCTCACCCCGACTGGTGGGACTCCACACCTCCAGCCCTGTACGTGATGGAGGCTCCCCAGGATGTCAGGAGGGGCAGCTTTTGGCTGCCTTCCCTACGGCGAACACCAAAAACTCCCTTTCTCCCACGGGAAACACCAGGTCCCATCCTGCCCCAGCGATGGAAGAGCCTGGGGAGGGCAGACAGCATCTCCTACCCCATTTAAGGTGGCTGACCCACACTTCAGCCCCTACATTAATCCCACATCCCTGCCCGGCTGCCTTTTTTTCTCCTTAAAACCTGCCCGAGCTGAGCCTCCGCTCAAGAAATAGGTCAAGAAGTTCAAAAAACTTGGGCGAGGACGGAGCCATCCA